TGATTGCATTCTCAACGAGTCTATTCTCAATGGGCTTCATGGTGAGCATCCATTAGATGAAGATAACTATATCTGCAACTTCATCATCGATTCATACTTGCAACTTGTGGTAGACACAACTCATCCCACAGACGTTTCTCAGAGTTTTTAGAATGGGAGAAATTCGAAAAAGGCGTCGGGAAAAAGCAAGCCAAAGAGTTACTCAAAGGTAAAACAAAGATTTTAGATCAAGATTTAGTGTTCATCCCTTGTAACTGTCTGAACTCCAAACACTGGTTCCTTCTTGTGGTGCTCCCCAAAGAAAAGAAAGTTGTCATACTTGACAGCATACCACCCAGCCTTTTTGTGAAACCTTCACATCAGCAAGCTGTTACAAAAGTGTGTTCTGTTTTTAAAGAGCTTGACCCATCTATTGATCTAAAGGAATGGGACTTTAGCTGCAATGGCCCTGGGGAAATCGTTGAACAAAAGAACTCATTTGATTGTGGTGTTCTCGTCTGCCTGTATGCTCGTTCTTTGGTACAGAAGTGTCCACTTGCAAGTACAGCTACGGTTGGTAATTTTCGCGAGCACATGCTCTTAGAGCTGCATGAAAGACGTCTCTGTGATCCGTACAGTGATGAATTCGAGATTGGATGCTACTATGCCATAGAGTGCGAGAAGTCTTATTATATAGGTCGAGTCATCAAGTGCGACGAGGGTAGTAATTACATACAGCTGAAGTTCATGTACACCGCCGGCGCAAAAGTGTTTGACTGGCCAACAAGGGATGACATTGATATGTGCCATCGGTCTTGTGTTATTTATGGCAAGATGAAAAAAATCTATGGTTCTCGCCCATTCAAATTCCCTCAGCTCGCATGACGACTTCACACCGATCTAAATGTGTCTCCATAAATTAACGATTTACCCCCCGCGAACCACACGAAGAAGCGGTCTGCGGGGGGTGTTTATGTAAATCACTATCACGTTGCCATGGAACTAACAAATAAAACCTTGCAGTGAGAGTCTCTTCTCACACCAGTTTTATTAAGTTTATCAATCAATCGTTCTGCAAATTACTGCTTTACAAAATCATTTACGAAGGAGAAGCCCTCCGAATTAGAATTCAGAGTCTAATAAGCCATTACACTAAAGTACGATTGAAAAAAACAAAAAAACAAACATATTCGCGTCGTTTGCCATCAGAAAATTGAGTTTCCACATCGCATTAAACTAGTGTTTTCATGGGAAGCAAAACTAGCGAGTTATCTCAGTGATTGTTTCGCTTCCCTTCTATGATCGAAACAAACTAAAATATTCGCGACGAATTGCCATCGAAAGTTTTTAAACTTAAAAGTTTCGACCGACATCATTGTTGACAATCTAGAAGGATTTGGCAAACTTTCCACACGCTGTCTTCATCAAGCGTTTCAGCTCGATAACTTTGTTTTGATGTAATGAAACATATTTGTCGTGAAATTTAATACTTCGATGAAGTCATGTATGAAGTGTCTTGATTTGAATTACGCGCTCGAATTTGACAGCTGTGTTTACACTGTTGACTTGACAACCGTTAGACGATAAAACCGGTTTTATCTCGTTCTTCGCATTGTGCATGCGCTGAATTTATAATTAGAACTGTTCACAATGACACACTTAGATCGGCGTGAAGTTGTAATGCGACGAGCTTGACCGACTGTATTAAATCATCAAGAAGAGCAGGAAGCAAGTGTGACGTAATTCTTGTTTGTTTGTTGTAGCTTTTTTTAACTCTTACT